AACAGTATTGGCTCTTTCGCTACTGCTTGTTTGAGTGTATCGAATGACTCCTGCGCCTTGGTGGTCCATTCGAAACTTCCTTGATCCTTCTTGGTTAGGTTGGTTAAGGATGTTGTAATCCCTGAATATCCTCTAATAAACCTTCGGTAAAAGTTGACAAATCCTAGAAAGGACTGTAATTCTTTAACTGTATTTGGCTGCTTCCATTCAAGCACTGCCTTGACCTTATCTTTGCTCATCTTGAGCCCTTGGCTTGATACGGTGAATCCTAGGAACTCCGTTTCCGTAACATGGAATTCACATTTGCTTGGTTTACATAGCGAATCGGCTTTGGCTAAACTTTCAAGAATGTTGCTGACATCTTTGATGTGTTGGACCTCGTTGTTTGAGTATACTAGGATGTCGTCCAAGTAGCATATACAACAGGTGTCCAAGTATTGCGACAGCACATTGTTCATAAGTCTCATGAAAGTAGCTGGTGCGTTCGTTAGCCCGAATGGCATAACTTGATATTCGTATAGCCCGTATCTTGTTTTAAAAGCGGTTTTCCATTCTTCGCCTTCCTTCATTCTAATCAAGTGGTACCCGTTTCGTAGGTCCATCTTGGTAAATATTGTTGCTCCGCCTAACCGATCTCTTAATTCCGTAGCTAATGGAAGTGGATATCGATCTTTCTTTGTAAGCGTGTTGAGCTTTCTGTAGTCCACAACTAGTCTCTTAGTACCATCTTTCTTAGGTACCCACATAGTTGGACTTGCCACTTGGGACGTGGATTCTCTGATCCATCCCTTGGCCAAGTTGTCGTCGATATATTCTTTGAGCGTCTTTAGCTCATCGGCTGACATTGAATAAATTGGGGTGTGCACAGGCATCTTGCCTTCCTCCAATATTATCTCATGATCCTATGGCTTGTGTTCTGGCAAAGCCTCATGGATCCCTGGTTCCTTGAACACATGTTCGTATTTCTTGTACTGTTCTGGTATCATAGGCTCTTCTGCCTTGATTGCGATTTCCTGCCGTGTCGTTGGCTTCTGCATTTGTAGAGGAGGTGTACTGGCCTTCGCTCTTAATGGAGGACCCTGGACTGGGTGTCCTACGTCGCCGGTGTTGTTCGCGTTCAACTCTCCTTGGCGCGTGTTACGTCTCGCGGACGCCTTGAACGTGTCGTCGTGACCGTTCTTGCACTGATCAAATGTCACTGTTTCTTGTGACCAATCTATTCTAGGGTTGTGTGCCTTCAACCATGGCATCCCTAAGATGATCTGTTGTTGGCCCAATGGCACAACGTCAAGCTGTATAACCTCTGAGTGTTGGGTTATGCTCATTCGTACTGGTCGTGTCTCTTGAGAAACGTTCCCGTCAGATCCTGCTAGCTGTCCGTCAACTAACTGCAATTGGTAGGGTTCTTGTTTCTCTTGGAGTGGAATTCCCAGGTACTTTGCAGCTTCTCGTGCAATAAAATTTCCTGTAGCCCCTGAATCTATCATGGCTGGCTGTGTTTGTCCATTTATCTTGACTCTGCAGTATATTTGTCCTGCTTGTCCTGTAGCATTTAGCTGTGGTGTAATTTGCTTATTCTCGCTATTCTGGATGATCTCATCGGCAAATGTTACACGTCGAGGTTCTTCCTCTTCTAGATAGGCAGCGCTTGTCCCTGATCTAGCTCTGTCATCAAGTAAATCCCTCCATAGGGTGTACCGGTAGTTCCCTTGAGTGACTTTCATTATCGTACCCACAACTGGTGGTGGTAATATGGCTTGAGCCTGGACCCGGTGTTCTTTTCCTACTCTTCTGCATAAAAATAGAACCTGATTCTCATTTCTTTCAGATGTGTGGTGATAAAACACTTCCCATAGCTCTCCTCTGTCTGGCCACTGGAGGTGATCGGTACTGATCCTTTCTATGAATGATGTGTTCGTAGTGATTCCAAACCATAGAATTCGATGCTGATCGACGTACCGAACCTCATACGATTCGCCCTCTTCAGCGTCTGTTACGCTGAGGTCCTCGTTCATAGTTCCTTCGTCTGTATCTCCAAATTTCCAGATACGACGGTTCCATTGGTCAATTTCCCGAATAGACCATGATTCTCCTAACTGCGGGTCTTTGTTTACCCATGAGAGGCCTTCGACCTCTTCTTCTTCTTCGTAAGCTGGTGGTGGCGTGGCTAGCCCTGTCATGCTAACAGCACACAATTGTGGCGTGAAGGTGGCATTAAGTTGGCCCTTGCCGAACTTATTCTTAAAGTTGCCCTTCTTGCCCCCTGTTCTCTTGCTTCGACATTCTGCTGCCCGATGCCCTGCTTTCCCACATTCAAAGCATAAGTTATTTTCTCGTCTTCGTTTCTTTTCCGGATCATCATTCCCACCTTTGTGGTGCGTAGCGTCGAGTTCCATAGGGTCTCCATATCTCTGTGGATTGTAACGTGGTCTTCCCTCATTCTTGCGGTAACGCTCTTGCTTTTGATTTCCCTGGGGTTTGTATGATCTTTGACTTTGTCGATATCGGTAAAGACGATCATCTGATTCGATGGAGTCCTGGATTAGGTCGTTCAAGTCTACACTCTCGGCAGATCTTTCTAACTCCAGTCTGACTTCTGGTTTGAGTCCTTTACGATAGTGACTCATGATGGCGGTTTCGTCCCACTTGGTTGTTCCCGCATATCTTCGAAATTCCGTAGCATACTTCAATGCTGATCCTGTCTGCTTGAGGTTGAAGATCTTATCTTCCGCTACCTCTAGCTCATTGGAGTTCCCGAAGATTCTACGTATCTCTGTCTTAAACCCTTCAAAACTGTTGAAGATTGTTCGAGTGGGTTGCATGCGATCCTGATCGTCATGCTCGAAATAGTCGCGCAAGTATGGCTGAATCCATTTGCCTGCCTCACCTCTGAGGTATGACACGGCCCAAATACTCTTAGATTCCCTTTCGGTGAACTTGTCTTGGTTGAATCTAAAATAGATTTCAAGTTGCAATAGGAAGGTGTCGAGTTCCTGTCGACTTCCTTGGTACTTGTCTGGTAAGGCAATCTTGAGTGTTTCGTTGATGGTGATCTCCTTGGGAGCATCAGTCATTTCGACATCATCGAAGTTGCTTGCTGGGGCCTGTTGGCTTTTGGAAGAACTGTTGGCTGCCATACTGGCGGTTGGTATTGAATCGGTACTTGAAGCAGAAAGGGTGCTCAAAGTGTTACGGGAGCTGCCTCTAGGGTCACGTGGAAGTGTCTAGAGATCTCTCGAGGTGGTTTAGACTAGACTTCAAGTAGGAATTCAATAAGGTTGTAACTGGTTGCAATTCTCGTAACTATAGTAATGAAACTAATGATTGTTCTTGAGCACGAAGCTCTACATTGTAATGAAACCCATTCCCTTATATAGACCTTCGTTCTCGTCTGGATAGCTTGGGTAGACTGTCTATCCTGTCTATCCACGGATAGCCTGGATAGCTTGCCTATCCTGTCTATCCATCACGTGACACTTGCCCCGTGACCTATATGATACTACTGCTTATCTAACCTGTGCTTACTAGATAACCTGTAACCGCTATCCCTCCTGTGCCTACTGTAGGATAGGTGCCAACAAAAGATAGGTACCTATCTTTTAATCATTGCTTATTGATTCGGTTACCGCTATCTTTCGTTACCCTTTAATCCAACTGTCCCTACAGTGCTGTTTTCGTAGGTTCCAACACCAAGGCCTTAGGTTTATCTTATAATCCATGTTGCGGTGCGGGTACCTCCGTAACATCTTCCCATTATATATATATTAAAAAGGATTATACCTTATTCTAAATCATCTCAATTTATATTATTTATTTTATATAGGCTATACAATACTATATATAGTAATTCGAGTTGATGATTCCCCCCCTCAAGTGATCTCAACATATCCTGAACTCATATATCTTATAAATCCTCTAAGTCTCCTTTATAAATAAGAATAAAAGAAAGAACTATTTTATCAATAAATATAGATGTTAATAGGATAATAAACTCTCTTAATCTATCTTACCTAGTTTTTATTATTCTACCTCTATTATAGACATTAATATTCATTATCCTTTTTATCATCCTCCTTATACTAATTATAAAGCCCTTCTTATCTTAATTATATATATTTCTTAATTATATATTATATTTTATAATTACTTTTATCAATTAAATTAAAAAAAGAAGAATATTAGTAAAAGTATTTTAAATAATAAAGATTAATAATAATAGAAAATAACTTAAACTAGATTATAAAAGTAATCAAATATAGTAATATTATCAGCTTTCATATACAAATTATTAATATAATAAAGATATCAACTTTTAAAATATATTGAATACCTCTTAACAAAATTACTAATCTAATTCTTTTTTACCTTTTTATCTAGAATCTTTTCTATAAGATTTCTAACTATACAGTTTGTAAAAGGAATAAATCTCTATATCAGCTTATTAATTTGATTAATTAAAACTTCCTCCTAATTATTAGAAAGCATTTATTTCATATTGAGAAGGAATTGTTTTTTCAAAGTAGTTTTATTTCTATATTATTAAGAGAATATAAATCAATTAATTTTAAAGAAATTAACTATCTAAATATATTTAGGAATTTGAACTCCTTTCAAATAATCTAATATAAACTTTATACAAGTCTCTAAAGGTATATATATCATCGATATTTGAAGCTATAATGTCGATATTTTCAAAGTCGTGTATGTAGTAGGGACATGTATATAGTGGGGAAATCGGTTACCCAAGGCACTTACACGACAAGACTCTCATAACATTACACTTATGGCAAGGTTAGATAAGTGTAAATTCAACGATAAAAATCCTCGAATAATTGAGTAATGTATGAACATTAGCTAGGCGAATACATAATGCCATTAGTGCCAGGTACGTGCTAATTCCTTGAGATTCCTTCAATCCCGCAATCATAAGGGACTCCTCTACTATGGTCATCTATCTCCCAGAACAGTCCTTCAGCCCTAATACCAACCATCAACTTTCTTCACTTCGTACTAGGATTAGGACTAATAGTATTATCTGGAAACTTTCTAAACATATCTCCCAAGTGATCAATTGGCGCCGTCAGTAATCCAACAACCGTTTCAAAGGGTGGTTTGCTGGGAGCACTGGGATGGCTACGGCTAGGAACAAATGCCTTGCTGCGACCAAAAGATTTAGCTATAGCTTGGGATTCGTTGTTATCAAGGGCCGATTCGAGAGCGGGGAGATCATTGCTTTCCTCGCCTTTAATGTGCTCATTGAGATTTTTCATGAGTGCATCGAGCGTAGGAATCAGGTCCTCATTTGATGGTTCAAGTTTCTGGAATTTGTAGAGGGCTTCCTTGACCTGTATTTATATCATTAGCTTTTCCATTTATGCCAACACAAAATGCACTCGCTACTGCACACTGCTTGCAGAGGTAGATGAACATACAGTTTGATGTTCAGCACGATCTTCATCGGCCATCTTCTGACCTTGCATACCAAGGTATTTTGCAAACGCAGGATAGACTACCAATTCCTCTCCGATGGAGTGACGAGCCAATTCCCACGTAAATTGGTTTTGCCAGCGTGCTCGTGTGTCATCATCCGTAGCCTGACGGATTTTGTCCGCGTATTGCCTGATTTCTTCATGGTCCTTGAGGATTGCGTCGGTGATGGTAGTCATAGTTGCGCGTGTTATTATACTTTGTCGTTTGATCGAAGATAATATTGGAGTTGGTCGACTTGTTGAGCTGATTACTCGCGTGAGAATGTTCATTTCTAAAGGACTATGTAAGAGGTATGTTGGGAAAGTGTATGAGTACTTTGGAAGGGACTGAAAGCTTTAAGTATTGAAGGCGATACTACTGCCAAGATACAAGAAAGAGTGCTACCTACGTAGTACGAACACGCTTAGTTACGTAGCGATATCTAATTGCAAGTTTTTATTGGCAAATATTTCCCCAAGTAATGATGTAGGACTAGGGATTAATGTAGCACGACATGTATAGAAACGCATTACTTGTCATTAATATTCATATGAATGTTGAAATCTAGATATTCAGTTGACGTGTGTATTGTTAATTGATCGCTTTGATTGGCCCGGAGATTTTGTTCCCGTCTCATTAACTGCAGCTTTGCAGCTGGATGGAAAAATGCGGGGTAAACAAGGAATGTATTTTTAGTTGGGACTTACCCTGGGGCCTTTAGATCTAGAGTGTTCAAGGAAAGAACAAGATTCATAACAACATATTTATAGCTTTTGTTATCATAGTACTTTGACAAGCATTTATTATATTATATATCGACTCATTAATCATTATCGATCTCCTTATATTTTCTTATAGTATTTCCATAAAGATACTAGTAATAGGAAAGCTATTATTGAATTTAATTAAAATATTAGTGACTATTTTTATAAAGGCTAAAGTATTATTTTCAGAGTTTTTATTAGTTTTCAAGAGAATTAAATTAGAATCTTAGTTAGATATAGTATAACGAATATTTAAAAAAAACAGACTAGTAATATAATATATATTAAAAATGATATTAATTAATAACGAGATTGAGTTCTTTCTTTATATATTATCTAATTAATGTATTAAGTTGAGATTCCTTGAAATCTAATAATAAATGTAAAAAATAGATTGTTATTATAGTATATGTTATACTGAGTAATTAATTAATAATATATAATAAAACTAGGAGAATATAATAGAAAGATTAAGCTTACTATAATAAAAGTATATATAATAATCTTTGAACTTGTTTTTTATATATAATAATAATATTTCTTAGTAGATCTTCATACTAAGTTAATAATCTATAATAAATAGTCTATAAGGCTTTAATAAATATTTAAGGACTAATAATATTAAATAGAAGTATTATAGCTGTATAGATAATATTAATAAGCTTTATTTTTTTTGTAATTTATAATTGTTATTAGATAAAGGAATATTATTTTATTTATAAAATCTATAGAAAATCAATATAGTATTTATCTAAGATTGTTAACTTTAGCTTTTTATAAACTTATTTCCTTACTCAATTGAATTAACTATAGATCTAGAATTAAAGCTGATGTTATATTTAAGATTATCTGAGCTTACTCATCATGAATATTAATTATACCTTTAATAGATCTTTATTATTTAAAAAAATTAAATACTTATATATTTAAGTTATTTATATCTTTAACTACGAGGATAAGGGAGATAATAGGGTGAACACAGAATAAAGTACAACAGGATATTTAAGAAAATATAAGAGGATTTATACCCCATCATAAAGAATAAAACAAATAATAAATAAAAGATTAAATAAAATAAACAAAAAGGAAAAGAATAAGGAAGATAAAAAGTAAATAAAGAAATATAATTACTATAAAGTAGAGGTAATAATTGTAGGGTTATATTGTTATAATGATAATATTAATAATAATAATAAAATTGGTATATTATAAAAGAGAGGAGAGGGGGACCTATATTATTATATTGGGTGGAAATAGGCTATATATTATTAATTTGTAGAATAAAAACAAAACAATTATAATGATATTGTTTTTGAAAGTATAGATAGTACGGACTATAAGTATTGAATAGAATAGATATATAATATAGGTGATTTGATAGGATATCATAAGGAGATAGGTCTTTATATCTTTTTTTTTTTTTTTTTTTTTTAATTAGATACAGATATAGGCGCATTGTATGGTCTAAGTATAGCTATATAGATCGAATCGATTATGAATTTACTACTACTACTACTATATCTTTAACTATTTCCCTGCAGATTTATTGATAATTAATACTATTATTATTACTTAGTCTAAAGCTTTTTATGAATCTGCTTACGATTTTTAAATATATTAAGTCATTAAACTCTTATTCTTGTATATAGTATATCAAGAATATTATAGCAAATACTTGAATATTTATTAGACTCTTATTCTATAGATCGATACTTTTCTTAATCAAATTAAAGAATTAGATACCTATTCGTTTATAATCAATTATATTATTGTTTATACTAATATGAAGATAATATGTTATAGTATAGATAGTATTAAATAGATTGTATAAGTAGAATTTATTTAATTTTTATTATATATCTTTTATAAAGTTATTTTCATTAAATAAAGAATAAAAAGAATGAACCTATATAAAATATAGAAAGATGAAATAGTTAATAACTTTGTTATTATCTATTACTATTATTTAAGTAAACTTATTAGATAGATTATTAATAAGTTTATTATTAGAATCTTTATATATAAATAGTTATAGCTTATTATTGCTTTTTATGGATTCTAGCTAATTAGTTATATCTATAATTGACTCTTTATTCTTAATATATTCAAGAATATTATATTCATTTTTAGTACTATTTACAAATTATATAAAGATTCTTTTTGTTTTATATATAATATTATAGCTCTCTTTAAGATTCCTTATTAATATTATCTTTGCATTCTTAGTATATAACTTATAAATACATTCTTTCTAATATAAACTCCTCTTATTAATATAATAATATAAGGTTGCTTATTATTATACTATATAAAATTTAATTACTAGGTGTTCATACTAGATTAGTCGCTTTTATGACTTAAGTTAGAGAATACTAGAATTATTTATCTTCACTTTAGCTTTCTTATAATTAATACAAGTATTTATTAGTACGTGTATAGTATGAAAGAAGGACGAAGTTCTTATTATGCTATGTAGAAGCTATTTATATATACCTAGGTACTCTGAGGCGCTAGTATTAGCGTACTAATAGAGAAGACATTAATATAAATATTACAGATAATATTCTTATTCTTATATTTAAAAACAATATTATAAAGAATAGTAGTATCTTCTTTTAACAAATTACTAATGTTAACTCTAAAAGGAATTTCTCTTTTTATAAGGAAAAGTTAAAATAAATGATCTTTTCGAGTAAGAAGGAGTTGAAATCCTTATTTATCGATTCTCTGATTTTATTCAATTGAATAGACTTATATTTTTTTGAAGGAGTAGAAATCACATTCAAATTAGCTTAATATGAAGCTAGTATATATTTTTTAATATTAATTGAATAGTATAATAAAAGTTTAGCTAAACAAAATGCATATTGTCTAATATTCGAATTTAATCAAATTTTTAAGAGTTTTAAATCTACTTCAACTTCTATTAGAAGGATTGAAGTAGTTTTAAATACTTTTAATATCTTTCGAAGAGCTAGGTTTTGAAGGGATTATATTATATTCTTGAAATAGACTTGATCTCTTTACTAAATTACTAATTCGTAATCAGCTATAGTACTAAGACATAGCTGTTTGTCGAACATCAAAATTTCATCAAAACTCATATAAATCATTTGTATTTTATGAAATGAATATAATATACATACTAATAAATTTCATATTAGTTTATTCAGTTTCATTTGAAATTTAAGAAAAAAAAAATCATTTATTTTTAAGATTTATATTTATTATAAAATATATATAGAAAACTAAGCTTAATAGAAAGAATAACTTATTTTATGAATATAAAAGATTATATCTTATTAGTTTAATATTTAAGAAATTGATTTCTAATTTATTTATAATATTTAGAATAAGAAAAAGCCTTTATTATTATATTCTTAACTTTCATCTTAATATTAATATATATTTATTATATTAATAAAATAATTTATAAAAACGAAATAATATTCTCTTTTATATATTATTTAAATATTTTTTATTAAAGTATATAAAATTATTATAAATAAGTTCCTATAGATTAGTATTTATAAGTCTATTATCTTTATATTTAGTAATTTTATATTAAATAAATGATTTAATATACTTCTTTGTTACGACGACATCTAACATACCGAGTCACCTGATCAGAAAGTCACGGGATTAGAGATTCCCACTGGATCCCACTGCTCCCACCTGGTGGGACACGATGGGATCAATAGGACAACAAAGAACGAAGGTCTATATAAAAGAATGGGTTTCATTACAATGTAGAGCTTCGTGCTCAAGAACAATCATTAGTTTCATTACTATAGTTACGAGAATTGCAACCAGTTACAACCTTATTGAATTCCTACTTGAAGTCTAGTCTAAACCACCTCGAGAGATCTCTAGACACTTCCACGTGACCCTAGAGGCAGCTCCCGTAACATTCTTGTAGTTATTATAAGGCTTGAATCTTTTATATATGTTTTTAGCTTTTAATCAGTCCTTTGAAAATATAAATACTAAGGGTTTATAAATAAATCTAATTAAAATTAAAGATTTTTCTTTCAGTTTATTTTATAAATCGTCTTTAATAAATACTTCGTGGTTGTAATCAGCTATAATTAATAATTCATATACATTAGAAGTCTTTAATCTTTTAAGTAGCTTAGAATTCTTTTCTTTTTCAAAGATATTAGATTTCTTTAATATAATTAATGAAATATAGAAAAAATAAAAAAAATAAAAAAAATAAAAAAATAAAGAAAAGTAAAAAAAGGTTTTTGAATAATTAATTAAACAATTTGTAATATTATTAATTAGTATTAGTTTGAGAAGAATATAGAAGATATAGTAATTATGATATTTATAAATTCTAAATATCTATATTATATTTTGTCTAAAGAGGTAGCTAAATATAAAATATTATAGACATTATATAGACGCTATAAGAAGAGCTAGTCTCTTTT